ACTTGTTTCAATTTTGGGTGCTCCCATCAAATTAATCAGGGTGCTCAGTCCTTTTATAATTTCTGCTAGGGGATGATTCATCCAGGCATCATAGCATTGCAGAATACCCTGTAAGGGACCATAGATCCCTTACAAAGGGTACTCTCCCAAGTGGCCCCAGTGACTACAACCTGTGGGGTGTCCACATCCAAGGTCCCTCCCAAGGCCGCCTTGATAAATGCATCTCCACTTAACTGCTGTAGTGCCCCCGGCCAATCTATCCATTTATGCTCTCAAGCGTGCCGGTCCTTGGTCAGTTCCCAAGCTTCCAAGGTCCCTAGTGCAATGTCCATTAACTGGTAAGCATAAAACCCCGAGACCTTGGCGTTTATCTTCTGACTGGCTGGTGCTGACTTATACCATTTCCCCTGGGAAGATTTTGGTTAACACAGTTATTGCCTCTCAGGGAGTAAAATATTTATCTGGTCCCTGGGCCATTACCCTATTGGCCCAGGAGGCCTAGGTCTCTTTTGGGTCCTTTACCCAGGCTACCAGCTCAACCTGGAAATCTGCGGGTTTCCATGGGACCACCTCCCAGTCCTGTAGGGTGAACCCAGGGCCCTCTTGATTCGCTTGATACCTAGGCTTCATAACTGCACTTACCTCCAACTTTGCAGGAGGGGGTTTACTCTCAGGGGGGGCGGTCTCCTCCTCTGCTCCTGAAGCGGGCGGAGCGGGTTGGCCTTCCTCGCCACCGACTAGATTGGCCACTGCTACCTGTTGTTCTCCCCCCGACTCCGGAGTCCAGTCCTCTGGAGGCAACAAAGCTCCCGCCACCTCCCATCACAAGGATATGGCTCCTTCCAATAATACAGTTTTTCCCAGCTTCCTTCCCAGCTGACACTGAGCAAAAACTCCTTCAACTGTGGCAAGGGACCTGAAGTCCCTTGCCCTGGAGGACGTCCACAGGTGCACCATCCTACTAAGTTCGGAAAGACTTGTGGTTTTTCTCTGGCGTGGGAACATGTCCACAGCTCCCCAGACACAGCTGGCCAGGCTGCCCCCTAGGAGGGGGTCTCTAATTGCCCACTTTCTCCACTAGTTGTCAGGGCTCCCTCCCTTCCGAGGGGGGAAGGTGAGTAAACCACAAGTCACACGCCAGGGTCAAAGCAACAAGTATAACTTTTATTGTGAGTAACAGCAAAATGGTCTAATAGCAGCAACTCAATACAAGGGCTTACAAAACCACTAGCGCATCGGGCTGGAAGAAAGGCACTCCCCACCCTGTCCCGAGTCATTACCTGACTTGTCTTGGGAACCCCACCCTGCGTCCAGGGTGGTGAGACATCTCCTTTATCAGGTCCTTAGCCTTGTCCTTCCCCGAAGTGATTCCACCAGGGGCCTAGTTTTCTCATGACTTTTATACCTTCACTCCTGCTCCCTATCTCTTTGGGTTCTCCAATCAAAGTAGCTTCTAGCCTTATTACCTTTCATGGATTAGAGCAAAGCTATTGTTTCATGTTGCAAAGTTGTCACTTCAAAGTTCTTCTTTCCAGAGCCATTGGGTCAGGCAAGAGCAGTTCCTCTTTCTAATCTTATGCAAAGAACAGCAGATGCATTAGGTCATTATCCCGTGGCTCCTGGGTTCTGCGAAGCTGACCCCCACCCTCCGGGATGCCAGCTTAGCCTCCTCCCAGAACCCTTTTTGGGATGGGCCTTACATCCTGTTAGTTTTTGCCTGAATTTCTCTAAATAGACACAGCTACAAGAATGCTTTGAAGATCCCGAGTTAAAGAGTATAAAAGAGGAATGAAACAGCTAACAGGGGGCACTTCAAGAACGAGAAATCGTTCTGACAAACTGCTACTGCAGGCAGCTGATCTTTTCGTGAACACCTTGAGAAAATGACAAGACTGAAACTGAACCTGAAACAGGCTCTTTGCCTGTAGTGGTGAGTAGGACTGTGTGAGGCTTTGGATCATGCTTCCGATCCGGGGCCATTTCGGATGCTTCGGCGTCCGAAGCAGCATGCCTGGAGTGAAGCGTGGGCTCAGTTAAGCTGTCCGAAGTGGTTCGGAGTTTCCAAAGCACTTCAGAAAAGCTTTGGATGCTTCGGATGCTGAAAGTGAAAGTGGGGGGGACGGGACGGGGACTGACATGTATAGGTGGCCAGTGAGAAGGATTTCTCTCTGGCTGGCTTTCCAATGACAGTGTCTGGGGGGAGGGACCTCAAAACAGCATAAAAGCCTCTGTTTGGAGGCGTGATGTGCCTTTTCCTAGCTTGTTCCCTCTCAGGAACTGCATGAGAAAGGAACCCTCAGACTCAAACATTTCAGCTTGCTTGCTTTACTCAGTAGTTGAACTTGCCTGCTCCTTTTTGTTGTTAGAAAGGATTGGGTAGGATTTAGCTTATCTTAGCTTAGCTATTCAATTACTATTCAATTAATTTCTTTGACTTTATATTTGCTCTTTTTTTTTGTGGAAAAAGGTAGTTGGGTTTTGTCGTCTTTGATAGATTCTGGTGTGCAGTTTGTGGGGGTACTGGAGATAGTTGGCAGGTTTTGTGTTTTGAGCTGTAGGAAGTTGGTTTCAGTTCTGGTGATGAGGTTAGGTGCTTGTTTGAATATACAAACCACTTTTCAGAGCTGGGCACATGAACTGCACTTCATCAGCCTCCTCGGTAGTAGGTACAGAAACTCATGGACTCAGTATACACAGTGGAATTCTGGCACACAGCGACCTGTCGGACATCTGACACCCCAGGCACCTCTGCACTTTTACCTGCGCTGCTACATCCCCCTTTCC